CGCCACCCCCTTGCGCTCTACGTGAGGACCCCCCCCCTTTACCCCCCCCCCCCCCCCGTCACACACACGCATACATACACAGAACCAGCTTCCTCCAGCCATCTGTTATACCAGAACACACAAAACCTTAAAGTTGTTTTACCTTCTCCTTTAAGAAATAAAGTCCACCAACGTAACTGTAATCAAACTCCTCAATTGTAACTTTTTTTAAACTCTCTTTCTCTCTCTTTTCTCCCATGATAATCGCTGCTGTGACCCTGCAGTTATCACTGTGAGTATGTCATGTTGTTGCACACATACTGTATATCATCATGTTTACTGACTCACAACCATACGCCACACTTCGATTCACACTGAGGCGGCAGATGAACTTGAAAGTTGAGACAGAAATTTGATCCATTTTATGATGCAGCAGCAGCAGCAGGGAGAGTCAGACACCAGTCCTTTGTGCATGTGTACACGAGTGTATCTGTCTGTGTTTGAATGATGGCAAACATACAGTACTTGACCATGCAGTATATGTTTAATGTTTTCACAACTTATTTACAGCTTTGCTCTTCTTTTCTCTGCAGAATGAGTATATGAAAGACAACTTCCTGATCAAGATTGAGACATGGCACAAACCTGACTTGGGACACCTCGAAAATGTAATTATGACACTAATTAAATCCAATTAACATACCTCAGGTTACCCTTACACTTGTATATTGCATAAATACCAGTAAAACTTACTAATAGTCAGTCAGCACTGGCTTTGTTGACCTTTAATCTGCCCTCAGACACTTGGTTGTATCTACTAAAGCTGTGCTCTGTGCTTCTGCTCCAGGTTCATGGTCTGGACGCAGAAACTTGGAAAAAGGTGGATGTTGTTTATATTGATATAGCAGACAGACACCAAGTGGAGCCCAAGGTGAAGTTCCTTCTGAGAAAAAAATGTTAAAGTCCATGAACAGAAACACTATAATCCATTATCATCATCTGCACAGGACTATAAGCCAGAAGAAGACCCGTGCAGGTTCAAGTCAGTGAAGACAGGCCGAGGTCCTTTAGGACCAGACTGGAAGGTGCAGTACTGCAAAACAGATCTCTTAATACGAGGGTGGATATTAATACTTCAGTACTTTTTATACCCATATAGTACAGATGTATTAATTATTCATTAGTAAATGCAAGAACAAAAACACAGACCAGACAGCTTTTTATATGTGAGTCCATGTGGGCGGAATAAAATAATACAGTTCAGTATTCTTCGTGTTCTGCCAGGATTTTACTTATACCTATTTACTCTTACTCATATATATATAACTTTTGTTTACATATCAATGTGTGTGTCAACGTGCACTTGCAGAAGGAGCTTCCTAACAAGAAAGACTGCCCACACATGTGTGCCTACAAACTGGTCACTGTCAAATTCAAGTGGTGGGGGCTGCAAAACAAAGTGGAAAACTTCATTCAAAAGGTTTGTTTCCAGGTGGAGGAGGATGTTTCCTATGGTGTGGTGTATTTGTCCTGCAGGAAATGTTTGTGCTGACCTCATCCTGTCACATGTTTAGCCTGGACTACACTGCCGTAGTTTGTTTGCTTGGATTAACATTGTATTGAGTACTTCAAGCTGTGTTGTGTTTATAACTCAGTTTGATCTCCTTTCTTAATTGTTTTGCATTTGTTCCTTTTCATCCTCAGCAAGAGAAGCGTTTGTTCACTAACTTCCACCGTCAGTTGTTCTGCTGGATCGACAAGTGGATTGAGTTGAACATGGATGATATTCGTCGCATGGAGGACGAGACGCGCAAAGAGCTGGATGAGGTAATGGGGTCAGATCCCCAAAGGTCATCAAAGACATCAAAGATTGTCGTCGTGGCATTTCTGCAAATATGATTTGTCTGTTTGTCAGATGAGAGTGAAGGACCCTGTGAAAGGAATGGTGGCTTTAGAAGACTGAGGCTGTATCAGACCGTGAATGCTGCTGCTCATCAGGTGGGATGATCATCTCTGTTGTGACCTGACAGCTAGGTGGAGCACTAGCATAACTTTTGTTGTTGTACAACTGATTCATTCATAGTGTTTTTGTCTGTGAAAATGTTTAAACATAATTTTGTGTGACACCAAGTGTAAGATGTAAGATGTGTAAGATTGGCCAGGGGATTAAAATAGTTCAATATTTTAGCTAATTGTTAGCTGCTGTAACATTTCTCCTGTTGAAAACTGAAGTACATATGACAGTAGCTGACCGCTCTCATCTTTCTGTCTTTTTTATACCAGAGTAACCAGACACCAGCAGGTTCACATCTTCCTTCTGTTCCCCCTGATGCGGCACCTGACCAGCTGATGCTAACTCTGGTCTGGATCAGACAACAGCCTGGTTTTTTGGGGACCTGGGTCCAACAAATACCTAGTTTTTTGAGCCAACCTTCATTCCATTCCAGCTCCCTTCAATTCCATTTGCCCTTATTGGTTTTCCCATGGGTGTCACCATCTACCTGTAGTAACTGCTCTGAGGCCTCCACTAGCAACACAGTAGTCAGTCCACTCTGTTCTTAACTGCAGAGCAGAGTGACATTATTTGTTTGTCAATTCAAGATATCCCAACATGTATATACTGGGGAGCAGAAGCATTGTACCACAACTATAAATATATATATAAATAAATAAATAGATAAGCAGGGTTTTTAAATTTTATTTTCTTCAGAATGTCTGTGATTTAGTTGTGATCGGGGGGGGGGGGGGTAGATCTAGAACTACAAGAAAGGTAGTTCTGTCTTAGACTAATTCTCCCGAGGACTTCCTGGCCTGGATGAGTGAGAACATTCCCAGCATTCTACTTGGTGTTGCGTTTGATTCTGTGACTTGTTTTTTTTTCTCTTCATCATTGTTCTGGATTTGTCATGTATAAGTTTTGTTGTTAAAATCCATTTGCGAAATTTGAAAATGCCCTGTGAGCTCCTGCCGATGTGTGATGTAAAATCTGACTCCTTCTCTCACAGTTTTATTCGCCCCTTATTTGTCGCTGACGTCATGGTTTGTGTGTGTGTGTGTGTGTGTGTATTTTGCTGAACCTTCTATGCTTTGGTTTTTTTTCTTGTTTTCCAGGATCCAATATGTTAAAATACAGTAACTGTCAGAATATTATCTCAATGAAGCACACACACACACGCACACACACAGAGTTGAGGGAAATTAGCTATAGCCTACAAATATGATGACATAGAACATTCATACATCTTACTGTAGGACGGTCCCTTGTTTATTTAGGTCTGACACCTGGCAGTTTTCTTCCTTGTTTACTTTTCCAACCCCTAAAATTAAACACATCTTTCTCCCTGTCACTCATCCCATCATTTCTGCCGTGGATAAAAAGGTTTTATCCAGTACAAGCAATAACTACCATCAGACATGATTCTCTGTTTTTATCGCCACAGATCTACGTTTTGTGCTGCCGTTCACTCAGAAAGTGAGTGAGTTTTGGGTCATTGTATTTACCAGGTGTTGATTTGATTGTGTCCGTCTTTAGTTGCAGTGGGGGTTTTTTCTCCTGCTGGAACCTGGAGTCTGTTGTTTGTGATAGTGTGGTGTTGTGGTATATGCATGGGTGTACGTGAGTGAGGTACAATGGTGTGTTTCTGAAGACTAATGCTGGAGTTGGAGGGGGATGTAGTCGCGAGGCTCAGCCTTCCTACTTCTCACTGATGTCTGTTTGGCATTTCTATTTTCCTTTTCACCCATTCTTCACATTTCATATTCGGCACTCATTGTTAACAGTGTGGGAACTTAAAGAGGTCACGGAGTGGTGTGGAATAAAAAGCTAGTATAGAGCTAAAAGGAAGCACACTTAAAAGTTTGATTCTTTACATCGCGTGTGTAAAATGCATTGATCAAGAGTCGAATCAAATAAATATTTATCAATTCCTGTGACAAAGTTTACACACAACGAAGCTGTATGTTCATCAGTAGTTGCCTAGATTAAGCAGAGATGTAAAATTCTAGATTCCTCTTTTCAAACATTCCCCCCTGCAGGGGGTGCTGCAAAAACCGGTACTGGAACAAGTGTTTCCATCATTATGTACAGTAACTACAACAAAGAATTGCAAAAAAATGCGGTAATAAGATAATCCTGCCAACCAATCTTAGTTTGGCTTCTTTGGGTCTGAATGGCATTCCTACATTCTTTGTCACATTACTGCCACCTACTGGATTTCTATTATACTGTTATTTTGTTTTAGAGAAACATTAGGGAATCTTCTAAAATCAAAGGAAATCTAGAAAATGAAGACAAAGGGCAGCATCCATGAAGATCTGAAAGAGACTGATCTTATGTGAAGTTGTGTTTGGTTTATTTTTTAAATTACAGAATATAATACCTTAAAGTTACTTTTGAAAATGTTGCCAGGCTTGGTTGGTGATTATATAATCAGAACAGTTTAGACTTGTAGACTGTTGGTGGCGCAGACCGTTTTTGTTTGTTTGTTTGTTGTTGTTGTTGATGATTTTTTTTTTGCCATGTTCTGACACCTCATCATGGTTTCGTCCATATCGTAGCCTCTTTAAAGTAACAACACTGGCCACAGATGGTTTCATCTTTCTCTGTGTCCTTTGTCTGTCTATACTCAGTGACGGGGCTACCAACCGAATCATGGAGATTTGTGGATGTACTGTAATGTACTGACTTTGTAAATAGCAAATAAATTACTGTAGATGAACACATAAATAAAGATAGAAATATAAATATATATATATATATAGACCAGACCTGTCCTGCCAAACCTAAAACACAACCCCTTGGCACTTAAATCACCCCATTCCTTTGGAGAATTTTCAGGATAACAAAGACCACAGTGACCAAATGGCACCTCACCCTGAGGTGTGAGGGCGTGTAGAGTGATAGTTGTAGTGATGATAACACATCTGAAGAGGTTTGTCAGCTATAGACATCATAACGTACCCCATACTACATACGCTTTTTGGGATGATCCCAGCAAAACATTTGAGATCTGGAATTTACTGACAGGAAAATATAAAAAAAAGAGAAAGAAACCCTGTTCATTTCCTCCTCTTCATCTCATTCTTTCCTCACAGGGACCACGTCCTGTAACCGGGAAAGTGTATAGATATATATTTTTGTTTGAAATGTTGTTGTATCTCTGTGGTCAGTCTCTGAACTACTCTCGCCTCCATTGTTGAAAAGGAACACACTCTACAAAGGCAGCTTGGATCGGTTCATTGATCCACTCTGATCAGCAGATCAAATTATGCCAGATTTTGCCCTCTGCTGGTGACTGAAGAAATCCCATTCAGAGGCATTTTAAGAACAAATCAAATGTATTGCATTGCAGCATTATCAGAATCTGAGAGAACGTGGTTTAACAGAGACAATCTCACGGATAACCGTCGTTGGATTCATCCATTCATAACCAGAGAATGAAAGCAGCTGTCTCCACTGTTCAAAACTGTTTTTCAACTCCTACATACTCTCTCTCTCTTTCTCTCTCTCTCTTTGTCTCTGCCTCTAACTCTCTCACCCCTGTTGCCCTGTCTCCCGTTATTCCTTAATTTATTGTGAATTTGTGCCTTTTTGTCATCTTATCTTCCAATAACATTACTGTACATTGGAGATGTAAGAAATTAATTAAAAAATGCAGACTAACTGTACATCATCTTTAGAGTGTTTTTTTTCTTCTGTATGCATCACTGCTCTGCTGTCACTGCAAGTACAACAGTGACATAATAAGAACACAAAGTGTAAGGAAATGAAAATGAACGTTTTCAAAAAAGCATTAGGAAACTATTGGAACAAATATGTAATGAACAAAAATACAAGATGCAGTATGCAACCCCTTAATTCCCCTGCAGGTGGTGCTACATATGCTAATTGTAAATGCTTCAGCTAATGTATGTATTATGTATGTAACTCCAAAGCCACAGATGTTTCCATCATTAAATCTAGAGTCTCTTTCAAATCATTTTACAATCATGTTTCAAAACGTTTCTTTTGAAATCAACTATTTGTAATTAGTCTTCTCAGAGAAGTAAAGGAGTTGAGAACCTATTCATTTTTTAAAATAACCATAGATATAACTAATTGCCATCACCATTGGATTTTCTTCACTAAAAACTAATAACCCATCTGACAGTGCACATTTACAACACTTTCAATCTCTGTTGATATTTGTGTGGTGTACTACAGTGGTGCGCAGTAATACACGTCCACATTCCATACTATTACAAAACTGAAGGATTACACAGGAACATACGAGTAGAGCTTAAAGTATAAAATAAAATCCATGCGTCACGGTGACATTTACTAAACAGACATGTTCATTCATGAATAAGATACCGTAATACCTTTCTCGCTGGGTTGTTGGCCAACCTGGGATAATAGCTTGATCCGATGTTCCGCTTTAAGTCTCGAGCAGGTTGTGTGTGGGACCCTGTATCCAGAAGAGGAACAGCTGAAAACAAGAAAACCAAACGTCAAACAACGGGAACCATCGTAGGAAAACAGACCCAGACTCTGGACTCCCCTCCAGAGAGGTTTGTCATCTGTGCGCACGGAGTCTGTGGATTTTACCAAACACCACAGGAGAAACATAAAGATCAAGGTATTGAACTGTTGTCTATTTACATATATGTTTAAGTCAATTAGAAAAAAGAAATGCTCAAAGAAGTCAAAAACATCAGTTAGAGCTAAGCTTACACTAAGTTAGCCTAATTTAGGAATCAGTCTCAACTTTAGGTATTTTACCCGCTCTGAAATATGTAATATGTTTGAGCTAACCATAAACTAGAGCTAATTAAACTTTAGTTTAAAGTTATTGAGCCGATTTCAATGAAGGTATGCGTTTAGCCCTCACTTCTTACATTCTGACGTTCATTTGAGTCTGACAAAGCTTTGCTATCGTTCAAGAACATCAAGTTATATCTTTAACACTGGGTGTTTGAGTGGCCTCCACATAGTTGTATTTTGTAAGGCTGCCCCCAAGTGGCTAGAAATCATTTGATTCAATTTTTGTATTGTTTAATGTCACTGATTTCTTGTTATAATGCATATTTATGCAGCGTTTTCACCAATTTACGACAAAGAATCTGTGCCAAATTTAGAATAAAGAAATACAAGATTAAACATATAAAATTATGAGTATGAAACATGCAGTACATTTACGAGACAAAAACTTTCAGCACCTTCAAAGGCTTTGAAATGTAGAGAGGGGTGAGGAGATATAGAGTGAAAAAGGGAGTTAAAAAGCGAGAAAACGCTAGCAGTGCTGTTAGCAGAGCATTTTTACCATTCTACACTGGGAAGAAGAGAACGATAAAGGGAAAAAAGAGAGAGAACTTTAATGAGCAATTAATTAGACTGACATTATTACAGTCTGATTTAATTTTTTTTTCAGGCCCTCTGGCTTAATTAAGCCCTTTCTCTGTGTCACCCACTGCCTGAATGTTCAAGTTGTTTTCAGTGAAATTCTGTGTTCACAGGGGAGAAAATGAGCGCTGGGAAGCTGAAGAGTGGTGGCACAAAGTGCAGGTAAGATTATTGTTCATTTTCTTTTCTTTTTTTTATTTCAAGCAGCTTGTGATGAAATTCACGGTTACATAAAAGTTCAGGCACACAGTAGCAACAAATTTCAAGCCCTTAAAAAATCTCTTTTATTGGAAGGTTCATATTCATTTGAACCTTTTTCATGCCTGTCATTGACCGGGAGACAAAACAATGTGCCATTCATTATTTCCCACTGCTCAGACCTCTGACTTTTATCCACTTAACACTTTGTTAAAGAATGCTTAATTCTCTTCATGTGACACTGTTACCACGAGTGATGGAGAGAAATGAGGCCACAGATTTCTTTCCCATATATTTTTTAGATTTTTTTTCATTAGACTAATATAATTCCAAGTATTTGGCTGAATATTTACAGGGGAGGAATAGAGACAGATTTTTCTTCATATTTTTAAAATGTGTACTTTTATAAGTGGGTATAGAAATATCTATGTTACACCCACCACTTCTGTGTTAACCCTGTTGGTTGGACCACATTTCATCTAAATAAGGAAAGGCTGGATCCAGGCCAACCATATAACTAATGCTATTGTGCGCTGATTGTCCCACAACACTACCCCCCATCGAATCCACTCATTAAGTGCACTCAGCTGATGGAAAAAAACACGGTTTCAGTAAACCTCTTAGAGGTCCCAACGGTTGCTCAACTATTTCAACATCACTCACAAAGATGGAAGATCGGCCTCTAAAGCCCTCAAAGCCTCAAAGACAAACTTTCACATGCCAGCGATTATAGTCCAAACAGGAATTGCCCACATTCCCAAGTCTGCTGCCGTGCTGTACTTCATCGCTGCAAGGACACTCAGGACTCGGCCAGAGAGGAGACAACATCAACAGAGATTACTCTGGACCCAGAGCTTCGCATCGTGGTCAGTGTGGACAAGTCAACAAGAGAAAAAATCTGAGGGACCAAAAAAGAAAGAAACATTTTCATCTTTCAAATGGTCTGAGTAGAGTGAAGGTGAGCCATGCCTGCAGAAGAGACAGGAGAGTCCTGAGGAGCGATCAAACCAAACGGTATCCTGTCAGCAGGTTTCTCCTCTTTTTTCCGCATATAAATAATTTTTATACGTTCATCTCGTCAGACCTGCACAAAGAGTTTTGGCAGGAAGAGGAACTATTTTTTTAAAGCCTATCATGGACTCCTTGATAGGAAGTCCTCGTAGGCGCTCAGACAGTCTGAGCAGCACAACATCACAGGGCTCCAAGTCCAAGATGCAGCTTCGACAGCGTTTGTTCCAACTGCTGAGCCGCATAGAGGACATGAGTTCAGAGGATGAAGCCAGCGAGGAAGTGTCTCGCTCCCTGGATGATGCTTTTCAGCTCTGCGGATGCTTGATGCCCACAGATTCATTCAGGTTGACACACGTTTGACTGGAAGAGACTTTCACTGACATTGACAACATACATTTAGTTTATTCACCTGTTTATTTTCTATTGTTTATGTCATTTGCTACCAGACCAGGGTCTGTAAACTTAAAACACTGATTTTGAATGATTTTACCACCAAAAATATTGACCCAGAGCCACAAACCCTGCAGTGTTGACAATTTGTTTATGTTCGAACTACAGGCAATCATCCATTTCAACACACTGGCATACAGCACTCAATATGTCACAGTCACAGTGACCTGAGGTTAAAATTACAGATGTGACCTTCTCTTTAAGAAGACAGTGATATTACGTTGTTTTATTCTATTTTTTTATATTTATATTATAACGCAAGATGATATATTTTTATTTAATATCATCTTGCAGGGAGCCAATGCTAAGGCTAAAGAGCCAGATGTGCGTCAGTTGCCACAGGTTGCAGGCCAGATATATAACCATACATATATACATACAAATATAGTTACATGCCACTAAAAAGCAAAAGCGTTTTAATGTCTTAGAACTATGATTCATACCATGTCATGCTAAGTCATACTAAGTCATAAACCATCTACAGGCTGCACATGGTGACCTGGAATGTGGCCACAGCCGAACCTCCTGAAGATGTGACTTCTTTGCTGCAACTTGATGTGCAGCCACCCACAGATCTCTTTGTTATTGGGTGAGCCACCAAAACCAAAGACGTGGAATTTAATTTCTATAGTGATCAGTGGTTGGAGACCTGACTTTATCAGTGTCTTAATCGGTGCTGTTGCTTGTCAGTCTGCAGGAAGTGAATTCCACACCCATCAGATTTATCTCAGACTTGTTGGTGGAGGACTCCTGGAGTCACACGTTCATGGATACACTGGCACCGAGAGGATTCATCAAGGTGAGACACGTGACAGAGGCAGAAGAACAGACTGGAAACAGGAGGGAATGCTGCTGCTCACTGTCTATTGCTCTGTTTTTAGGTCACATCAATGAGGATGCAGGGTTTGCTGCTGCTTGTTTTTGCCAAACAGCATCATCTGCCCTATATCAGACACATCCAGACCACCTACACCCGCACTGGGATCTTTGGCTACTGGGTAGGAAACTCTCAGTGAAATTACTGGTCAGCCGACGACAACATAGTTAAAGCCTGTAACCCAGGAATCCAGCCAGCATCAGTTGCTGCAGTAACTGAAGAGGTTATGAAAGGCCCATTGTGTTTGATTAGTAGGACATCAACAGCTTTGGTTGAATACAATTACAAAGAAAGAACAGTGAGTGGAGTAATTGATGCACTGAGACAGAAAATTTACCAAGGAATCCAAGTGAAACAATAACGAAAAATACTACATGTTCTACAGCAAATACTACTGCTTGTTCCCTCTTCACCTGTGTTAGGGTAACAAAGGAGGAGTGTCTGTACGTTTTACCTTCTACGGCCACACGGTGTGCTTCCTCAACTGCCACCTAGCAGCTCACATGAACTACGCCCTGCAGCGTGTCGATGAGTTTGAGCACATACTGGAGACACAGGAATTTGACAATGCTGATACTGCACATGTGCTTGACCACAAGTAAGTACCCCACACACAAACATGCTAACATTAGCACTTGACTCATTTGCACAACTATCAACAGCAGTGGTTCCCATGGTACACATGCTGCTGGTAGTTTGGCTATCATTTTTACAGGTATAAATGATCTTGTTTGTATGCTGTCATGAGCTGAGAAGTATTTTAATGTGGGTCAAACTGTTGCGCTCACGGAGATCCAAGTTTTGCTAAAAGTCTCTCCTCTCCCAAAAATCAGAGCCGTGTTCTGCTTTGGTGACCTGAACTTTCGCATTGCTGACCATGGCCTGCACTTCCTTCGCTCATCTATCAACAGTGGACGGCTCAATTTGCTGTGGACCAAAGACCAGGTGAGAGACCGTAAATGATGACACATCTGTTTATTGTGTAAATTGCAGTGATTGACACACTGCATAGTCATGGGTTTGGCTACATTTTTGCCTATTTTCTATTTAAAACCTCCTCGCGGGGCTACTACTCATACACGCCACTGTATCATATTTTAGCTAACCATGATGAAGAAGAACGAACCATTCCTGCAAGAATTTGAGGAAGGGCCGTTGAACTTTAAACCCACCTACAAGTTTGACCGAAACTCTGACACCTATGACACCAGGTATTGTTTAGTTCAAACATATTCAGTACCAGTGTGGACAACTCTGGTACTTGAAACATGGACTCATACTTCAACTAAGCTTTATTGTATATTTTAATTCTATACAGCTCTCCTAAGACATGGTTTGGATTTAAGTAAGAGTCTCCTTTATTGTGTTGCATGTCCCACCACCCTCTGTAGCCTCATCACAGCACTTTCTGTTGCTTTTTTGTCCTTTGTCTTCATTGCTTAAAAATACAACCCCACCCCAGTCATAGCAGAAAACCAAAGCGACCATGGATTTAAATGGCCACAGTTTTCTCTCTGGTCTCCCTGCACTCTCCTGACACCAGCACCATGTATGTGTCTCTCTCAGAAAGAGTGCTGTGGCGCTGCCTCTAACCATGTACAGACCCCGACCCCTGCAGCGCTGTAGCACAACCCTCTTCTTCCTCCTCACCTCCCTCACCTGGGGGCTGCTCTCTGTCTGGTTGGGGGCCTGGTACAGGGAGTTAAACCCACCAAGGTGGGTGTCTCCATAGAAACGCCCTTTCTTCATTGATCATACATCGTATAACAACTCAATTAACTGGAGACACGGGGCTATATAGTAAAACTAGCAATCAAAATACATTTCAGCCTGGAACACCTTCATCATCAACCCAACACACCACTAGCACCTGCAAGATGTATTTGTTGCCTGTTGTGTGACTGTTTAAGCCAGAGGCTGTTATGTATTCCTGACATTTCTGTTGTTTATGTTGGTTTTGGTATGTGTACTTTGACTTACAGTACATTTCAACTTCTTGTGTTCTGTAGAGACATGGTGAATTAGATCATGACATGTGATGCACTGTATGCCTGTGATGTCAACACTTTGCATTTAACAGTGGCAAGAAGAGGAAACCAGCTTGGACAGATCGCATCCTGTGGCGCATCAAACCCAAAACCCTGTCATCAGAGGATGATGAGAAAACATCTGTTTGTACTGATGATGAACAAGATGAGTATCCACTAGTGATCACCCAGGATAAGTACAACAGCGACATGAGCTATGGTGTCAGTGACCACAAACCTGTCACTGCGACATTTACTCTGGAGGTAAGGCCTTTCAGGTATTTCTCCCTAACCGTTAGCTCTTCATGTTTATTTTTGGCCAAAGCTCAAACTTGTGTCCCCCAGCTGAGGAAATACTTTGACACACCTTTGGTGCACATCTCACCCATTGGTGTGTGGAGCGCTGACCAGGATGCCCTTCTCAACTACACGGTGCAGGAGGACTTCATGTCCTCCACATGGGACTGGATTGGCTTGTACAAGGTACAAGACAGGCACGTACAGGTTCACAATCAAAGGTGTAATAAATGAGAAGTCATCATGTGGCTGCTTTCCTGCAGGTGGGATTTAAAAATGCTTCTGATTATGAAACATTTGTATGGGTGAGGGAGAAGGAACTCCCAGAGACCAATGAAGTCATTGAGGTAATTTCATAATTTTGCTGTATTTTGCAAGATAACACAGTAAAGGGAATTAAAGGCAGGGTTTTTTTTTATTTTTTTGATTGCAGATATCTGTGGATAAGGATGAGATCCCGCTGATAAGTGGACAGTATGTTTTGGGTTACTTTAGTACAAACATGCAAAGCATTATAGGACTTAGTGCTAACTTCCAGGTGAGTAACTGTTGATTCTTAGATTAGAAGTACTTTATCTGATTTTAAGCATGCCTAATAAAGTATAAAAGTACATTTGATATTTTGTAGAAATTGTTTTGTTTTTTTTTCTACTTTGTTTTTTCTTGCAGATCTTGGAATCGAAGCGTGCTGTTATGGAAGGTCTTATTCCAGAGACAATTAATGGCCTGAACAAATAAGACATTTCCTGCAGTGCCACATCGCATTTGTCTTTGTGGAAGAGTTAAACAACACTGAGTCCGGTCTAATTTTGCGATTAAATATACATCTTCACCTGCTCAATAAGCTAAATTTTGTGACACATAACCTGAAAAATGTGATTTGTTTTTTTCCAACTAATTGCTGTAAGTCTTAAGCCTTATACCTGTTATAAATAAAATATCCAACTATTCTATTACTGTAAAGTATGTGATTTAAAATTTTTGCTTTTATAAATATTGCAGAAGGTCCTGATATTACATCAATTGTAGTAATCAAAGCGAAGTGGTAATCATATAAGATTAAACATACAGTAAACGTAAACATGGTATTCTTGATATGAAATAAAATGGACTGTAGGTGAAATTTCTGAGTATATGTCGTTTTTATTAAAAAAATAATTAATTATCTTTCTTAACATCATTTTTCGAGAAATTTCTGAGTATATTAATGATAATTATTAATTATCTTTCTTAACATCATTTTTTCCAGAGTAAACGACCTTACTGTTTATCAAACAAATTATTGAAAAAGACCTCATAAAATAAATTATTAAATGCAGCGTTGGATATTTGTAATGGTAATAATAAAAATAATAAGATTAATATATTAAGTTCATTGATGTGAAATGTTATTAGTATTTGTTACAGAGAAGAAAAGTTATTATATTAAAAAAAGAGTTGGTACCATTGAAAATATATACAAGAAGAAAAACAGAAAAAAAAACAGTTAAAAAGAAGAGGTAAAAACAACTAATAAATAAAACAACAAATAGTTTATAAGCAGCGCGTCTGCACCGGAAACCAGGTTTGTTCCGCGCATGCGAAACAGTGACTTCCTGTTTCTGAAGCTGGAAAAAAAGCTGTGTTGCCTTCACGTACCAGATCTAAGTTCGAAATATTTACCTTATACAAGAGTTACGATGAAAATGACCACCAGGATACTAGGATTAAAATAAAAATATCAAAAACATCATAAAACTTGCATTCCATATATTGTTCAAATCACTTTGTGTTAATATTAGCAAACACAGGTTAAGCTTCAGCAAAGATATATTCCTATTTTAACTTAAAACGTAAATACACACGTGTTGTCTCCCGGAAGATATTTGTTTTTACTAAAAAAGACAATGTTATTCCATGTTGTCTTCGTTTGCGTTTTTATAAAATTTTAGTGATAAAAAATTGCCACTTGTATTTAAAAAATACAGGGATACTGTTTCTACCTGATGTGATGAGTATCGGCGGTATCAACTTGCGCTCTCCACTCCCACAATTCCTTGCGAGTGTCCGTCAACAAACTTCAGCCCTACGTCTCCCGGTAAATACACGTGGGGAGTTCTAGTACGCTGCTACTACACCGAAGGTAAAGCTTTATTTAAAACACTGCGTGTACTACTGTCATACTGTCAGACTACTGTCTCATAACACTGAAAACGATGGTGTAAAGAAAGCCTAAAATTATAAAATTCCGGAGCCGTAACTAAAGGGAATCATGTTTGAAATATGACAGGTAGCATAATGCTAGTGGAATTAGCCTGCATTGACTTGAGTGATCAAGTATCTGTAACGTTGGTCAATTTGCCCGAATGGTTTTTTAATAATTACACAGTGCAGTTTTGTTTTTCAATTTAACGCTTAATTATTTTAAGTCTGTGGCTTTAGCTTTTACGTATGGTTCGTGGTGAATCTAGGTAGTGTAAGTAAATGTTTAACATTTTCGCACATAAATGCTAATGAATAACACATTAATTGGCACATTCATTAATCGAAGTAATTGTCTTAATTTCATTCTTTCTACTTTCTAACGCCAAACAGAGGATGGCGAGTGAGGACGTGGAGCGACTTCTCATCCAGTTTCAGAATGAGGAAGGCGAAGTTCTTGGTTCGCCGTTTGATGTGCCTCTGGACATTACTCCAGATAAACTACAGCTGGTCTGTAATGCACTGCTGCAGAAGGTAAGCTGTGAAGGTCACACCTGCTGGATAATTGAACAATTCCAATGTACTAAAATGATACAAACGTTCTATTTGTCACTGTCCTCCAGTGTGTCCACAAAACCAACAAACAGACTGAATGTCAACTTGATAATCAAAATTTAGACGAAAAGTCAAAAGCATGTGTGGCTAATGGTTGCTTTTGTTCTGCAATTAATGGTAGGATTAATTAACATGAATTTCATCATTTTGTCTTTATCTTCCCACAGGATGAACCGGTACCATTGGCATTTTTTGTGCGTGGAGAGGCTGAGGTGGTGTCCAATCTGGGCTCCTGTGTTAAAACTCTTGCTGTAGAGACAGAGCAAGTCCTGCCAGTTGTTTACCAGCCTCAGGCCGTGTTTAGGGTCAGAGCGGTAGCCCGCTGCACCAGCACTCTGCAGGGACACACGGAAGCTGTCATCTCCACTGCATTCAGCCCCACTGGCAAGTGAGTGTCACTGATGGAGAACAATTTGTCATTTGTGACAAGTTAACATGTTCTTAAATATGGTATTCATCCATGTTGTAGATATCTGGCCAGTGGGTCAGGTGATACCACAGTGCGTTTTTGGGATTTGACAACTGAGACGCCTCATCACACAGCCAGAGGTGAAGTTCTTCTTTGTTTGTCACGACCTTATCTGCTGTAAAGCTGCAAAAGTCTAAGAGTCAAAGGCGACTTCAATTTTTATTTCCATTTCAAGGTCACACACACTGGGTTCTCAGCATTGCCTGGTCCCCAGATGGCAAGAAGCTGGCGTCTGGGTGCAAGAACAGTCAAGTAAGACCAAAACAAACTTTATATATATAACTTTATATATATATATATGGATATCTACAGTTATAATGAATGATGTTTTCTATTGTTTTGTTAAACAGATTTTTCTTTGGGATCCAGTGACGGGTGCACAGATAGGGAAGACTTTGACAGGACACTCTAAGTGGATCACATGGCTGTGCTGGGAACCTCTTCATCTGTGAGTCAGAACCTACTCTTTTTTTGTATTGTTGTGATAACCTAAACTACAACTAAAAATGAGAACTCAAGAAAAAAGTGAACGAGTTGAATTAAGTGCATGATTTAAACATGTTTAATTTCAAACCAAAAAAATTGATTCCATTGAGACGTTTTATGTGTTTTTGTGCTCATTGTTGTGGATTATTAGATCATTTACTCTGCTGGAAGGTTTCCTAAAAAATAAAAATAAAATAAAATATAAAAAATATTTTAATTTAAAAAACAACCTCGGTCTTCAACCCCTAATCAAAACAAACAAACGGGTCACTCGGTAACTCGATGGTATGAATGGATAATGCAGCTACGCTTTAGCTGCAACTCAAGACTATTGAACCCGCCATTACTGAGTCAAGCTACAGGTGGCGTCGAGTCACGTCAGCAACGTCACCAGTCTGACAGATGAGGTGAGTGTGTATGTACTCTTAATCTCAAAGTGGTGATGGGATCAAACACATTGGTGCCTAATATAACAGCTGTATAGTAGCAGACACACTTGATTATGAAAAAGTAATAAAGATAATATAATTCAAAGGATGTGTAAACATTTAGATTGCGATGATATTAATATCATATTTTGCCAAGACTGTATTTAACGTGAAAGTAATCTAAATTTGTCTTCTATATTAATAAATCTGTAATTAATTTTTTCTCGGAACTCGGTTATTAAACTGCTATGACTTTTACCTTCTACTGATTAATAATTTTAACAAGATGGTTTTGAATGTGATTTGCAGCTTCCGGTATCAACTCATTCCTTTTGCTTCCAGAAACCCAGAGTGTCGCTTCCTGGCCAGTAGCTCCAAAGACGGATCAGTTCGTATCTGGGACACAGTGCTGGGTCGCTGTGAGAAGATTCTGACCGGACACACACAGTCGGTCACATGTGTGAAGTGGGGAGGGGATGGGCTTCTGTACACGTCTTCTCAGGACAGAACAGTTAAAGTGTGGAGAGCAAAAGATGTAAGTGTGTGTGAGGCTGTGAATGACATTTTTAGACAGAAGGTAAATGTCAAAGTCTGGATTGTTTTTAATTTAATTGTATGTCTTTGGAATTAGGGTGTGCAGTGCAGAACGCTGCATGGTCATGCTCACTGGGTGAACACACTGGCCCTCAGTACAGACTATGTCCTGCGGACCGGTGCTTTTGAACCCGCGACTGCCACAGTAAACCCACAGGACCTCTCTGGATCATGTAAGCCGTTTCTGTCTTTATTGGTGCAAATGTCACTTTAACTTATCTTGTGAATCTCAGACTGATGATCAGCTGACTTTTTGTTCTTTGCATGTGTATAACAAATATTTTTCTTCCACCAGTGGATGAGCTGAAGGAGAGAGCTTTGCAGAGATACAACAAAGTTAGAGTAAGTTCTTCTCTGTCACAAAGTTCTCAGTTTAATTCTCTGCATGCACATCTTTACTCACTGCTGTTGTGTTCCTGCAGGGCACGGCGCCTGAGCGCTTGGTGTCTGGCTCGGATGATTTCACTTTGTTCCTATGGAACCCTGCAGAGGAGAAGAAGCCTCTGGCCAGATTGACTGGCCACAGTGCTCTGGTCAATGAAGTGCTCTTCTCTCCAGACACCAGACTTCTCGCATCTGCTTCATTTGATAAATCAATCAAGATCTGGGATGGACGCACTGGAAAGTAAGAACACCTTACAGATGTCATTGATAAGCTGTATAATATGCAATTATGCATCTGTCCAGTAGGTGGCGCTTTGTGACATTTTTTTCCTTCTGCTGTAAAATCGTTTTTTCTGCCTACATGAAGGTACTTGATGTCTCTGCGTGGCCACGTGGGGTCTGTGTATCAGGTGGCCTGGTCAGCAGACAGCAGATTGCTGGTCAGTGGAAGCAGTGACAGCACATTGAAAGTTTGGGACATGAAAACCGGAAAGCTTAACATGGACCTACCAGGCCACGCCGATGAGGTGACAAACGGAAAAATGTCATGGCGCTCTGAATTTTGATGTGAATTTTTTTTTCTGACCGTTTCTCATGTCTTAAAAGACGATGTGAATTTTTTTTTTCTGACCGTTTCTCATGTCTGCAGGTTTATGCCGTAGACTGGAGTCCTGATGGTCAAAGAGTGGCCAGTGGTGGGAAAGATAAATGTCTCAGAATGTACGTAAAACTGCAGTGAACACTTTGTTTGTATTTTGCTAAATGTTAGTCCTTACTGTTCGTCTTGACGGTGGCCTCTAGAACACATCCAGAGTTTATTTTAAAAGCTGTTGTCCTCAACAATATTAATGAGGCTACAGTCTCTCATAATACACGTGACAGTTGTCAGTCAGCTGGTCAGTAGTAGGATATTGTTGGATAGTCGCAAGACATTGTTTTTGACAGCCCTACTTTGAATACAGTACTTTTAGAATTTTTCCAACTCTGACACTTGTTGTGATGTTGTGCATACACAGATGGTGAAGATAACCACAACTGAGGCCAGGATACATGTCTTTTTCTGTTAAGAAAAAAAATCACCGACAGCTGGAGCAAAAGGAGACGAGACGGAACCTAATCCTCTTGTTTGGCTTCAATGTGCTGTCTGTAAAAGTGACATTGTGTCAAGGAAATTCACTCTGCTCATGATGACGATGTCACGACTCTAAAGGTATTTCAGAAAGATGAGATATTTACGTCAGTACGAGACAGGCGCTAGACTGGCAAAATTGTCAGTATCAACGTCACGGCTCATCTTTGTAGTTATTCTATTCATGGTCTGATTTGTAGCTGACATTATTATATAGAGATAAAACAAGAAAACAAACTAGGAAAATATTTCAATAAGACTGTCTCTAAACCAAAAAAAAAAGTTTAACCTATTTCTAAGAACGACTTCAGTCGTCCCATCTGGGTCAACAGGTGGACTGAGACAACAGCCGGTGTGTCTGCTAATACCATTTTCTGTGTTGTTAATGCTGGCAAACACCGGCTCTGCTGCCTCTTTGTCAGCCTTTAATCTCCTCAGCTCCAGGATCAGCTCAGCCTGACACCACAGTGTATATATGTGAATGGATGGCTGTTTGTATGGTTTTTAACATAAATTCTTTATCAACATCTTTTTACTTAATGATAAAAATTCTATACATATACTATGATCTTGTACACAGATGACATCATGGAGGTGCATACAGTACATGATCACTAATAAACAATGTCTATCTTTGCTTAAAACATGTTTATTGACTTATACTTGGACCAATCACGGCATAGTTTCAATGTTTTTGCAAATCTGATCATGAAAGTTAAACTGTAATGTAACAGGAAGTAATCCAGTGGGTCTGAGCATCTTAGGTTTTTGAACGATCCGAACAATTTGTATTGGAGCATGATCAATAAGGCTAACGTGTGCTGTTCACCTAGTCATACTGAGCAGCAAAGGAATAAAGAGGTCTGTAGAGGTGTGCATCCGTGAATAAAAGATATAAAAAAAACAGAGACATCATGGACTCTCCTAGAGTTTGGCAACGATACATGAGTGCAAGGCCGTGTAGTGCAAATAGAAAGGATCAAAATTCTGATGGTGCTGCCAGACAAATACAACATATGTCAGCCAGTGATAAATGTGTTTTCAAAAGCAGCTAATGACTGGTATAAACACACAACGTGATCGCAGTGACATCGTTTTTGGATATTCATGATGTAGCAGTCTTCTCAAAATAGCCAAAACAAGCTAACAAAGAAGAACTACAATGGATTTTATCTCCTGCTGTTGAATTACAGAAGTACATTTACAGGGACGTGAGTTACACTGGTTCAAACTCACATCAGACACATTTATGGCGTCTCAATGGGCCTGCAGCCGCTGTCGGTGCAGTGGTACAGATGCCACATCGTGTTTCACGCAGCTGTCAGTGGCCATGACAGAATGCACAATAAATGGTGGATATGGTACTATATCATTAAGACACAGTCATAAATAGGTTAGTAACAGTTTGTCACAATGCTGTCATCACTTCAGTTGGCATGTTGTCGTAAAAACTCCAATTTTACAGTTACCTCGTAAAAAAAAACTTAATACAATAATAAAAAAACACATTGCTAACTTAAATCCTTATCAAATTCTGTCTCAAATCTGTCCTAAAGTTCCTTCACTAATGCATATCTGTGCTTTCCTGGTCTTGGTCAACAGAATTTTTATTTGTCATATATATATATGTATATATATATATATGAACAAACCTGAAAAAAGCTGTGACCACGTTGTTGAATATCAATCCTCTGTATATGTGTGAAGTGGACGGAGTGCTATCTTCTCTGAGCATTTCTGTGTGCAAAGATTTGCTATGAACTACAGTCGAGGTGGACAGTTGTGGTGGACATGACATGCTGCTCTGTGGTTGGTGTTCTTCTACTGGGTCTTCCACACGTCGTTCAGTAGTTTGACCACCTCTTCGTAGATGACGAAGACTATGGCCACGTCTAAACACACTCGACCCAGTCTGGGCACTGTCCCTTTGTAGAATCTGCACAAAATACGTAATGAACTGCAGTCAAACAGTTTGTCTCCACAGTAGTGATTCGAGCAGCTGTAAAGTCAAGATCAGTGAGACTTACGCCTGTGGTCCTTCATGCTTCAAAATCTGGAAGGCACAGTCCATCGTGTTTTTGTAGCGGTGAGCCTCCAAACCCTAAAGTGACATAGGTTAGATTTTACAAAGCTGTACGAGTACAAGTATTTTCATTTGTGTACTTGTGGATACCGTGTACTGATAGTGATACTTTTTCAGGTTGGGTTTCAATAAATATACAATGAACTTAAGTGTGATGTAGGCAGCACTGCTCTGCGGGTTATAGGGTGACATGCACTATGTGTGTGTTTCAGCTCTCAACCCAAACCACAGTGAGGTCACTGAGCAGGAAAACACTTCAGTCAGTTGTATTGTCTTCTCATAAACCCAGGGTCATTTCAGTGGAAAAGGAAACAAATCCTTCTGTCATATTGATAAAACCTGACAGGTGTGATGGTAAAAAAAAACATTAGCAACACAGTGTTAGGTGTTTTTTGTTTTACCTGCATCCTAGTTTTCACCACATCCAGAGGTGTATTTCCAAAAACACTGGCAGCTCCAGCTGTGGCTCCAAACATGGCTGTGACAACTGGATGCATCTCTTTCCGAGGATCGTCTCCTTTTTTTTGTAAATCCAAATTTTAATTGATAGAATAGAGAAGTAGGTTATAAATATAGCCGGAGACAGGATCCATGTGTTTTGCAGTTTCTCACCTTTGTACCAATTACGGAGTGCGTTCATCACATAAAAACGAATGGCCTGGTTGGTCCCCTGCTTTAGTACAGTAGCTGTCAGACCCTGGTATGTTCCCCTCAGACCTGAGCAATTTGAAGAGATTATGTTTGATGAAACTGCATGCATTTAAATTGCTAGTTATCGTTGTAGACACTCCCCCATCCTGCTGTCCTTACCCTGCTCTCTGACAATCTCACTGACTCCGTGGAAGAAGCCTCTGTAGCGTGGTCTCAGGGAACACTGGTCATGAATTAGCTTAACCTGGATGAAAAGAGAAGGTCCTTATTGATTCACATCAGTGTTGATAAAGAACACATGCAGACAGTGTTGCAGACCTTCAGAGTCTCCATTGGACAGACGACCACAACTGCCTCGGCTATTCCTGCTCCTAACCCACACAGCAGGCTCCGAGTGTTGTCGAGTCGACCTGTGGAGTCCCGCATCGGGTTGCTGAGCATTTCAAACGTGCCAAACCTTCAGGGAGAAAAGGCGATAATAATTACAAAACAATTTTGATTTGATTTTTTTTGTACTTACGCTTTCACATACAATCAATCAACCTGCATGTAGACATTTGCCTCTTCATACACTGCAGTATTTAAAAAGGTGAGACGTTTTTTAAGGCTTGCGGTTGAAGGTATAAAATAATATATACATACACTGAAATATTGTGTATTAAAACATGCCAATATTCATGATGTTGGTTCATTTATCTTGCTTTTATTTCTTCTGTAGTGATTACAAATGTAGATCCCTCTGTTCCTGTTCTGTGTTAGTAACCAGATGTTAAGATGGAACAGCATTGTGTGTTGACTATGCTGATAGTCCTACAATTAAATTGCTGTTATTGCAATATATTGCAATATATTGTTTCATTGCCCCTGTATTGCGATATGTATCGTATCATCCGATTTTTTACAAAAAACTTTTTCTGCCCTGAGCCAACAGCATAATTTAAGTTTCAAGATGAATTCACTACCAATGGTTATGTCATTGGTTAAGGATATCCTCACCTCACAGCTGATTTGGGTATAGATCCATAGAGCAGGGAGCTAAGACCTCGATACAAGCCTCGAAGTCCATGATCCTGCACCGTCAGCTTCACGCAGTCACCTTAACACACACACACACACACACACACACACACACACACACACACACACACACAAGGACCATCCAGAAATGAGTCAACCAGCAGAGGACTGACACACAGATACCTGCAGTGAGTTAGTGAGTTAACCTACCGATCCCTCTGTACCGGGGTGGGTTGGCTCTCTCGTCCAGCTGCAGCTGGGTCTTGACATACTCTGTGGGGAAGGTGATGCAGATTTCGATTCCTCCTGCGATGCCACCTGAGCAAAAGTGAGAAGTGAGAAAAAAAAACACTGCTGTGAGAATTTGTTGACTCACTGCACAGCTGTTGTTCCCAGAGCTGTAGAGAGCAGATGTTTTCAAATCGACAATCAAAAAAATGATCATCATTGCATATTTTTTCTAATTTTTGTATATTTTGTTAGTCAGGAAGAATGGAAGTCCAACATTTTACTTTTCTCAGTAATCCAAACATGTTACTCACTAATACTACAATACAGATGGGTAGCTACGTGTAGTATCAGCCTAGTATAAGCCCAATGAAAGTATGAAGTACACTTTGATTTTCAGAAATATTTATATCACTTGTACAGTATGTAAAGTATAAAGTACACAGAGGAGTTTCTCAGTCAGTGAACACAGCATCTGCACCTGGAATCTGTTTTTAACATATATTCATTATCTTTTGAATTTGTTGCATACTAAACTTTAAATATTTTTTTTATATTGGGAGAGGAATAATATATGTGTTCTTAATGGTAGGGTCTGCATTGAGTATTCAGTGCCTGAGTCAGCAAAAAATAGAATGACATGACGTGATGGATTTGTTTGTTTGTACTGTTGTTACTGCAGTATAGCATCTATTTACGAGGTACCGAGACGGGAATAGATGAACAGATACGTGTAAACAATGCAGCTGTTGTAGCATCACTGCTGCCGAGTGCGTTTGACCCAGTTCTGCATGGATGGTCCTTAATGGACGGCAGACTGAAATCAGGGCTGTGGGCTGCAGAACAAGGAGATCAGCGGTGGTGGGAGAACACTGTCTGTGTATTTGGGATGGAAAGTAGAAATCAACCTGCAAGTATGGCTTTCCCAGGGTGCGTTATTTTCCTCCCTCCGACTGCAGCAGCCGCCAGGTTCCTCTTCGCCGCGTACGACCGCTGGTGAGCCGGCAGAGACGCCAGCGCCGTGGCCGCGGTCAGACGCTCTAAGGCAGGCTGCAGATTCAGAGCCGGGCTCGGGCATCCTCTCCTCTCGCACGGTACCTCGCTGACCGAGAACGGTTTCAACAGTGAAGACATTGCGATCGCAGACGAATTGCACTGTTGTGATGACGATGGTGGACACACTGAGACAATGTCACACAACAACAACAACACAGGGAAGGCGGGCCGACTGTGGCGGCAGAGGTAGCATCAATATTCAAAGGGTTCTCAGCTGATGCAGCAGACCATTGGCTCGCCACGCTGCCCCCACGCTATTACTCAGTCACGTGATCAAAGCATGACTTTTGGTAGCCAATGCCGTGCAGGAATGTTCTGTAATAATGTGTGATGTCGACGCTCATGTCTGGTCTGAGGAGAGGTCGGGAGGTGGTAGTGTTAAAGGCACAGTGTGCCAGAGTTCTGCAGAAGAATACCCTGTATTATCTCCAAGACCATTTTAATATTTTTTTTATATTTAACCTGTTTAATCAGATAGGCCCCAGTGTCCCAAGACAAAGGACTTGGGACAACTGGGTTGATGGTGGTTGACCAGTACTGGGTCGTGGGTCATTTTGTCCCAGGTCATGAAAGACAGATAAAAAGTGTTTACGTTAGCCTGATGACTCATTGGGAAACAACGATTTAGAAATATTGACAGCACTAGTTTTAAAACAGTCATATGAACGTAAATGACTTCTAATATACAATACATACATATAATAACACATATTCCTAACCAGTAGTTATATCCAGGTTATATATAGGCCCTATATTGCACAAACAACCGTCTGTCAATCGTGGCCCTAATCTGTTTTTAACTTTGACCAGGCCAATTTAGGGTCTGAATTTGCAAAGTCATCGATCTGCCCACTGTTGGTAACGTGAGAGACTGAACTACCCTGCAACACTAAAAGCCTGACCTTCAATCCAAGAAGAATAAGAAAACAGAACAGAAAAGGCAGCAACAGTGGGATTCATTAAAACAACTGATCAACCGATGGTTTCAGTTCTGACTCTGTGGTCTGGTTGTATACAGATCGTTACCTACTTCATCTGTGGGTATATGTGCACGTGTGAGTGCGTTGGCATCTACATGCCTTTGCACCATGAGGGCGCTATTTATATAAATAAGGACTGGTTGTGGGAGTGTTAAAAAAAACTTTGTGCCTAAAAATATACAGCAAATAAGAATACATCTGAGTTGTCATTTCAGGGAGTTGTGTGGTCAAAGCTGTGGGTTGGTTAGTGAGTTGACAACCAGACGTAGGCGGTGGTTGATGCTTGTAGAGGTGTGTGTTGACCTAGCGTGAGCTAACTTTGGCTGTCAATCTAATACAGTGTTTGACCATGATTAATCGCACTGTCCATAGTTAACTCTCTACCTGTCATGAATTCATCGCACATATTTCACATATTTCAGTCATGTTATTTTAAGCTAAAAATCAGGTGAGAAGTAGTTTCACTTGTCAACGTCTTACACACTGTGTCACTGTGAAACAAACAGTAAACCAAAGTTCTTGTTTGTAGTTGAAACTATTGATTTCTAGACAATGGTCAAATGCCTTACTTTTAAATGCTCTCTTCGCTAAAGCCTCTTAACTCTAATATTTGTGGAGTGTGTTAGTAATTTTGAAAGTTGTCTTGCTAATCCTGATGACGTGTCAGTTTGCGTGAAAGTGTGTGTAAATTGATGGCGCTGAATCCCCAGCTGTAATCTATGAAAACATTCGGACATTATTTCCCTCGAAGCATTCCAGAGCTGTTTGAGTGAATCTGATGCAAACACCAGACATCTGAGAGGCTCTCATTAATTTGGGCGGTGACTCACTGTTGGTGGCCTAAAAGCAGGTGGGCACATTAGCTTGAGCCAAGAACAGATTGTAAATGTCTGCCAGTGTGTCAACAGGCTCTGGAGAGCAGACCCTGAGTGCAGGCCCCGGGCGTGGGCACGCTGCCGTCACTCCTCACTGTCTTGCACACATCTGCTGATGACACAGTGAGCGATGACATCCGTGTGCGCTTCTTGGCTGAAATCTTTCTTTGTCGGTTGACGTGGCATCAGAGTGAGCATATGCTGGAGTTAAGGTGCAGCTGCACACAGCCAGGGGAAAATCAAGTCCAATTAGAATACATTGCAAAAAAACTTTATTTTTTTTATGATTATTTCCATGTTTCATATCTTCTTAAGATTACACATGACACAAGGAATTGATATGTTTTATATTTTCACTTATAAAATTAAATACTAAACAAAAACTTCACAATAGCTATTAGTGGTTAGCGTAGCCTTTGAGTCTTAACATCCTAAAACATAATAATTCAAATACTAATATACATATTAAGACGATATTTGTCTGGAGTAACTCTTTAGTCTGAACCAAGTCTTTAGTCTGAACCATATTTTTTTTACTATTGATTGTTAGTTAATTAGTATTGCATATCTTTTCTATTTGTGAGGAATTAAAATTTCTGCGTGTTCTAGACACATTTGTCTCATTTCCTGTATAAACAAACAAACTATGTTCATCAATGACAGGAAAAACAACATAAACGCCATCATTGTGTGCATGCAATTTATTTGAGTGAAAAATAAAATGAGAATTTCACAGAAATTCAGGATGAAGTGAGTCATGAACGTGGCTGGATCCAGGTGTAAACAGACAGCTGTTGACAAGCAGAAACCACTTGTTAGTTCCAACAGGATTATTTGTTTGAATTGTTCCTCAGTCCTTCAAACAGCAGACACTTGGCCTGAGTAAAGGGAGAGAATAGAAGTCAGCCAATCAGACGCCAGGTCAGTTGTTTACAGTTTATATCAGTGGATCAGTCATTTTACAACCTCATGCCACCGCAGTGTGTCAGAGGCCAGGGCCAGATTGCAGTGAGGGCAGGTGTGCACTTGATTGGGCACTTCCTGGTTTCGGTGCCCCCAGCAAGGCCCCTCGCTGTCCCACAGGGGGCGACAAGTTGAACGGGAGGACCAGGCTACACCAAAATGAGGACGGGGATCTGTCTGGTAGCTCATTTTCTGACCACTAGAGGGCGGCTGTGTTGATGGAGCGGAGTCCTCCTGAATTATAGACAGGGAGAAATTACAGTAATGAAATGAAATAATGTAACTTAACTCTTGTGTATGAATCAGTAAAATCAATCAATGTTATTATTTATATATATATATTAATATTCTTTTATGAGACATACAACAAAACAAAAGTTTATTTGCTTACTTTGTATGGAAAGGATGGAAATGACCTTGGTGCCATAGAGCCTCATACATCTTTATGACATTTTGGTTGAAGTTTTTAAAAAAAAATTAATACTGTTTAAAAAGTTAAAACCTGTTTTGAGGTTTCCGGGCGATACTGTGAATTGAGGGACCTCAGGCAGTACCAGCAGGGTTCAGTCGGTCGGTCTGTAGAGGCAGAAACCCTCCGTTAAAGTGTGTTCCATCAGTTTTGACTCCCACTGAGTTTGTGCCAAAGTGAGTTGGTGTTTATGTGACTTACTTTGTGTGTTGGAGGTATGAGATGATGCTGTCGGGGGGGTCACCTCCTCCTGTGTTGGTTGGGGTTGGTTGGCATTATCCTCTGTGTTTGTAGGTGTCGGAGTCTCCTGTGGAGTGATTTCAATTTCACTGACATATTTGTCTTTCCCGATCGTTCAACACAAATACAACATAAACAACTTTGCACAAGTTACTGTATATAGTTACAGTATATACTTGTTCCCTCAGCTCTGTGTGCTGATGAGTTTTAAGACTATACGGCTGTATATCTGATCTGCCTCTTGTACTTGTTTTGAATTATTTTCCAACTCCTGACCTGTGCAGAATCACATGCTTCGCTGCCTTCCGTTGACTCCTCGAGGTTTTGTATCTCATTGCCGTCTCCACTGCAGTCCTGGGTCAGGACCTGTTCAGGAGCTGTCCCACTGAGGTTTGAGACACAGGCAGCAGCAGCAGAATTACCAAACACGCTCTCCTAACTGTCTGACTAGAAGGTTATCATCAATCTTCAGCTGTTTACACCCGCTCAGCCTCTACTGTTACACTCAAGGAGGCCACTTCATTAGTAAGAAACAATCAGACTCTCCTTGGCTTACCTTTCAGTAGTTTCTCCCTGCTCCTCCCTCTCTCCCTCCATCCCTGCATGTATGTTTACCTCTCACGATGCCTGATGTGTTGTTATTTGCTCTGGTTGAACTGTTTTCCTTCCCTCCTCTGCCCCTGCGTGTCCTCCCCTTTGTCTGACTTGCTGCACTCTTCCCCTCCCTCTCTGCATGTGAAACGGAAACTCCTGGGTTTTAATATTTGATGCGTCTGAATAGCTCACAAGCAGGTTTCTGTAAAGAGTTATCAGGAGAGGGCTCTGATGACATAAAGAGTGCTGCAGATGTAGTTGTTTTGTTCAGTAGATCATTGTATTTTACTGTGGAAAAACACAACAAACATCAACTCATGATGAGAAGAGGCCACAACAGGCCTGAGAGAAATGGTGAAAAGCATTCTGGGCAAGTAAAGCCAAATATGACATTCAAAAGGACTGGTGAAAAGCATTCTGGGCAAGTTTTACAAGTGGATCATATTACTAATTGCTTCTGCTAAAAATAATAATTAAAACAAAAACCTCGTAAACATTTATAAGGGTTAAGAGTCAGTGTGTTGATCCTGTCAAAACCATAGATCATGAATAAAAAATGGACTTTGTCATTCTGCTGGGGACCATGTACATACAGTACATACAAGGAAGTAATATTTGTGTCAGAGGAACATTTTTGGTAAAGCCAAATATGACATTCAAAAGG